TTATATTCTTTTTCAGACATCTAGTTGATTTTAATGAGCATAAACCCAGGGGAAGAATCTAATTACATCTCGTAATATTTAATTCACTATCTGATTAACTAATTTGAATCAAGTAGTAGATTGTCTTAGAGGAGTTATAAACGGTTCCCTTCTAACAAATATACCATTTTTAAGGGCTTGATTTCTAGAACTCTGAGTAAGGTGAAGGGATTTCAATCATTATTATTATATGTAAAACTACTTGTTATCAAAGACAGAATAATGATTTCATTTTTTAAGAATTTCTGCAACGACTTTAAATTAATATATAATACTAACTAAATTTACAAATACATATTTATAATACTTAAAAAAAAATTAATATATTATATATAAAATATCTTGATAAAAACTACTAAATTCACATGAATCTATAAGTAGTATTATAGATCCTTTGATTGATATTGTTGGTTACCTAACTTTAATTAATTTTGTAGACTTGAATTGGATATGCAATTCTTTTTGGGTGTGTTTAATATATAGTAGGCAACATGGTCCCTCAATGGCAACAAATACTCAAGTAGGGACCAAATTAGAGTGCATAAATTTTGAATTGAATTGCATACCGACAATTATAAGGTTTGGTAAGAAAAATGTTTAATTGAAAGAGCTTATAATTTCGAGATACATCATGTGAACCACTTTAGCTATATATATATATAGCACATATACATGGAATACATACGAATCTAAGTGTATTGTCTTTAATATATGATAGAAAATTCATAATTAGTGATAAAATATGTAATATTTTGAAAGTATATATAATAATAACATGTATAGTAGTGAACTATGTCTAATTATGTAGTTTTTCCAAAATAATTTAGATAATTTATTTTCATCAGTAAGTCGCGGCGTGCAAATCATGATATATATGTTGGTATGAGATAGCAGATGCACTGAAATAATCAAGGTTGCGTATAACCTAATGATCAATGAAATAAGAATAAAATCGTAAAATCTTATATTTGAATTTTAATGAAGGTAAAAATAATAAATAATTTCTTTCCATTATTTAAGTCTTATGCAATATTTATGCTCAATGAAATAATTATAAAAAATAAATATGTCTTCAAAGGAGGACTTAGGTGAATCACATGTAAATTTATCCACAAACTACACATATATAAATTATACTAAATACTAATAAATACTGATGTCATAGCAAATATTATCTGTAAAATATGTAGCAACAAAATAGTCCTTCACTGTTTAAGCTGTCACCTTAATTTAATGAATTATTTTTTGTTATGGAATTATTTTAAGTTTGTATATAACCTACTCCTTTCTGTCTTTTTCTTCTGTTTTTTTTAAAGGTTATTTTATGTTTTATCTCAATAATTTCTGTATTAAAAAAATAGGATAACAAATTGAGGAACTAGAAATGCACGTGGAATGGACGCAACCTCGAGCTTAGGAATGCACGATTTTGGCTTTCGTTGGTGAAAAATAATTACGAGTGTTAAATAAATAATCTTTTTTTTCAAATAGTTATAATGGAGAACATAATTTATGATCATGAAAATAGACAAAATAATAGAAATAATTTCTACAAGCACAAATTCCACTTAATACAGATTGTAATGATTTGTTGGAAGATTTGCTATCTTTCCAAATGACAAATTACCTCTTTTTTTTAAATCTTTAATTAGTCTTTAAATAGTCAAGTTGATTTAAATGTTTAAATTAGTGTTTCATTGAGTTTTATACTTCATTATTAATTGTTGGGGATTAGAGTAATTTAAAGGAACAAAAATAACTACCAAATGTGTAGTATTTCAAAAATAGATAACATTATCTTTTTAGCTTTTTTCTTTTTTTTGTTTTACTTATCAAGTATCCGAAATTTATTCACTTCACTAATTCGAGTATATATTGAAAAAACTCATTAAAAAGGATAAAAGCGCTTCATATAAAAAAGTTATCTATTTTTTAATTTTTAATTCAAAACTCTTCATTAAAAATAAAGAAATTTCGATCGATTATTTCAAACTTTTCTTATTAAAAATAAAACAAGAAGAAAGAACTAAAAGGTGGAAATTCAATAGGTTTTACTACTTTAAAGCTGCAATTTTGTCGATTATCATGTAACTTCTTATTTTATGGGCTTACATTATTAGGCCTTTTGCAAATGATTAATGATCATACTTTAAATTTCTTAAAATTATAATCTAGTGATAGAATCAGAATTTTAATCAAAGAGAGTTAAAATATATGTATATAATGTGCCAAAGGGATTAAACATATTAATATATATATAAAATAATTTACTTGTAATTTAGTGATAGTATACTTTTTCAACTTATATATAACTTATGCAAATATTAGTTATACACTCTATTTGATATCAAGATATGTATAACTAATATATAAAAATTCATCATATTAGTAATGCAAAGAGTTTTAATACATGCATTAACACGGTTAAAGATATATTTATCCGTCAAAATTCTTTCCATTCCCTATACTTTGAATTCAAAATACCTCTTCCATTATACTTTGTAACAAATTTACCAATAATTCAACGAAAAATCACATGTCAAGTTTAGAATTAAATAAACATTACCCAATTTCCTTAGAACCTCACCCATTTAATCAACCCGACCCGACCCGACCCGACCCGGCCCATTTTCTTTTCTTCCAAATTGCAATTCACCCAAATAATTTCCCTGTAGATCTTCTTCTCCATATGATGATTTGCTCTCTCAGGTCAGTTTTTTTTATCCTTTTTCTCCTTTTGATGATTTAGTTAATTTGAGATAAAGCTTAGGAGAAGTCTCTTCTTTTGCTAATTTCGGTATTCGGAACTCTCTGTTTACACGAGGTAGAGGTAAGGTCTGTATATACTCTATCCTTCTCAGACCTCACTTGTCGGAATGTGTTGTGTATGTTGTTGTTAATTTTGGTATTGACATTTTACTTATATTGTTTTGTTATTTTTGAATCTAAATGATTATGCTGGAAAATTGGTTAGTGTTTGAAGGCAATGATGCAGAGCGAAAATTCTGTTGAAGATTCGCTTCATATCCGCAAGCTGGAGGTTACTGATAAAGAAAAAGGCTTTATTGAATTGCTGAGACAATTGACTGTATGTGATTCTGTTTCGGACGAGAAATTTAAGGAGAGATTTGAAGAAATCGCGAAATATGGCGATGACCATTGTATTTGTGTGATCGAAGATGTTCGATCAGGGAAGATTGTTGCGACTGGAAGTGTGTTTATTGAGAAGAAGTTTGTGAGGAATTGTGGCAAAGCTGGTCATATTGAGGATGTTGTGGTCGATTCGAGTGCTCGTGGGATGCAATTAGGTAAGAGAATTGTTGAGTATCTTGCTGATCATGCTCATTCAATGGGGTGTTATAAGGTAATCCTTGATTGCACTGAAGAGAATAGACCTTTTTATGAGAAATGTGGTTTTAAGAAGAAAGAGATTCAGATGGTTAAGTATTTTGTTTGATGAATATAATTTTGTAAGATTGTTGTTCCTAGCTTTTCTAAAAATACTGAGTTTATCATAAGGATAAATGGTTTGATAAGTTTGATCGTTATCATTCACGTAATCTTCTGTTTTGTTGTATGCCCTGTGGCTTTGCTTTGAGCATTCGTGGGATCGGGGGGACATAGCACAATTCTTCTTAGAGGAGGGTTGTTTGCCCGAGTGACTGTATATGTGAAGTATTTGTTTTTGACCAGCGTGAACCCTTCTTCATTGATGCCAATTTCTCTGCAATGAGCATGAACATGTTGTTTCTCTGTTTTTTGGATCGGGATATCTTGTCCTGAGATCATGTGTATTTTTGGATTGGATATTTCTTATTTAAATCTGCCTGTTGTTAATTCTCTAATACTGGGCAACAAGATATCAACTGACCTTGGAAGCATATATGGAAAGTTAAAATACCATTCAAGCTGGCTTGCTTTCTTGGTTGGCAACTAAGCAAGAAGCCTGCTTGACTCCGAACTCGGAAGAATCTGAAGAGAAAGGGAATCCATTTGAGCTCTAGATGTTATCTATATTCTGCAGATGCAGTTGATAAGTTACTGTCTTGCTCTAGTACCTTTCTCAACCTTTTGGCTAAGATCAAGCGTAGTAACTATCTAGTTGTGGCAACTATTTCTTTCCATGATTTTTCCCAATAGGAATATGCTGGAGCCTACATGTGATTTTTTGAATTTAAGCTTTATGAACTCAACTTTTAAGGTTCTTAACGTTGACCATATTGTATTTTTGAAGCTATGGGTTAATATCTACTATTTGTTGTAATGTTTGTAGATTTTCAAATATAAATTTATCTTCTTGTTGGAAGTGTTGGGTTCAGATGTAATTTTTTCCTGGTGATAAGTGAGTGCATCTAAAAGAGTTTGGCGTAGTGTATGAAATAGTCATAATGAAAACAAAATAAAATTAAATGATCTGAATGCCACCATTATATTATAACACAATTGTCTCAAATGGGATATATATATGTGTTCTTTTGAAATGCTAGACAGAGGTGAATTCAAGATTTAAGTTTTATGAATGTAACTTTTTAAGGTTTTTAGCGTTGACCATATTGCATTTTTAAAGTTATGAGTAATAGTAGTAAAATCTTTGTGGATTGTGGAACATAAACTAGTGCTCTTGTTAAAAGTATTGGGTTCAAATGAACTCGATTCCGATACTATGCATCAACACTTTGGTGATGGAATAATGTCAGAGACACTGTTAGACAAAAGAAGTGGTGGAAAACAACCCTAGCATGCAAATGGTGGAATGTACAAAAAGAAAGAAATTTGGGGCTAAACGCTAGCTAAATCGAACAGATAGCCAAACCAGATTCTCTCTAACTGCCAACACAAAAAAATTGTCTTCAAAAGCACAAACATTTTTCCTGCCATGCTTTTCAAAGCAAAATATAACTGATAATTTATATCATAATTTCTAAATTTCTCATAAAACAAATCGTTTTCTAATATACATACAATACTCTTTTGTTTTGTTGATAATTAAGGGTAATCTTATTAATATAAATATCCAACATAAACAAGATGCTAGGATTAGTATTAGCCATCTGCCAAAAGGTTAGCAAAAAATACAAATGTGTTTCCTTTTATCCTGAGAAATCCATTTGGAGCCAACCCTCAGGACCAACCGCAACCTTTGAAACTCGGGGATGATGGGTCCGCTCCTCTACACTTCTCCACCTAAACACTAGGTTTAGTTCTCTTGTCGTAGAGCTTAGGTAAAAAATGCAATGTGTTTCAAGGCCATTCTGCTTTTTGCTCTGAAAAATTCAGTTGTTTCTTTCTTTCTGGATAGTCCACCAAATGACGACTGATTTAAAGCTTGCACCGAGCCCAGAGATTTCATAGAAATGGTTCTAATGACCAATATCATCGCGAAGAGCTGCAAATTGTGGACCTAGAAGATGGACTGAATCAACCTGATGTGGAGGATCTGATCAATGAATCGTCAAATGTAACTTACGTAAGATGAAGTGTGTATTGGAGCTGTCGATAGAGCCTTTGATCAATTTTTTGTTCATGGCAACGTATGACATATTGTGGAGACCCTCCATCACGAGGATAAAGAGAAACGGAGAAAGAGGATCTCCGTGTCTCAAGCCTCTCTGTGTAGGAAAGAAGCCATGAAGATAATCATTTATGAGGACGGAGAATCTAACTGTAGAAATGCAAAAAAAATGATTCATACCATATATCGTTTGTCACACAATATTTTGCTTCTGCATATCATTGCTCCTCTTCCTTGGAGCAACAGTAAAGTTGTCTTCGTATGACCTATAGGTCACAAGTTCGAGTCATGGAATCAACCACTGATGCTTGCATCAGCATAGGCTGCATACATATCACCCCCTTTGGTCTTATCAAGCTGATGAAAGATAAATATTAGGTCTATCTCCTCTGCATAACGGAATGGCACCAATTGGCCTCTATTCTCTTCTGCAACATCATATTACCAACAGAAGTCTTACCAGTAATCTCCACATGAGCATGAACCTTTAAAGAAACAATGGAAACGATTATTATCCCGTAAGATAATTTCTCTCTCCGTTATCTTTGAGACAAGCTTGAAGAACGTATGGCAATCACCACAGATACGGAGGTTTTTTATTATTCTGATAACATCACTATGTTTAGTACTTAGTAAGCCAAATGCAAGCGCGAGCTTCTCACTGTGACAGCCCACGAAATGCTCCTTCTCCTCCTCTTCGATGTCAAATAGAACGTATTCTGTTTTTGGAACATAACCTACCTCTCTTAACTCCTTGCTCAGTTCACCGAGTTTAACGTATATGTTATCTGATATTGGATGATATGTATCTCCAACGAGAAATTCATGAACTATTCCATCAATCTCTATCCAACTATATGCAGGAATCTTCTGCATTCTTCTCTCGTTCATAGAAGACCTGATTTTTTCCGAATCGTCCCATTTATTGTTAGATGCATAGATATTTGATAAATGAACATAGTTTCCAGAGTTCCATGGTTCCAATTCAATCAACTGCTTTAGCACATGTTCAGCCAACTTGGTATCACGATGTAACCGGCAGCCACTTAACAGAGCTCCCCAAATGACGGCATTAGCCTTCATTGGCATACTTTCGATCAACGAGTGAGCTTCATCCAGCAAGCCAGCTCGGCCTAGAAGATCAACCATACATCCATAATGTTCAATTGCTGGTTCCAAAGAGTACAAGTGAGTCATGCTCTGAAAATATTTGCGACCATCATCAACAAGGCCAGCATGAGTGCAAGCACAAAGGAGACCGATGAATGTGTTTCCGTTAGGTTTTATACCAAGTTTCTCTACTTGACCAAAACAACAAAAGGCAGATTTCACGTACCCGTGCATAGCAAGACCCGATACAACAGCATTCCAGATTACTCTATCCTTCACCAACATTTGTTTGAATATTTCCCAAGCTGATACCATCCGTCCACATTTAGCATACATATCAATAAGTGCTGTACCTAAAACAGCATTAGACAAAAACTCATTCATGTCCATCAACTTACAAGCCCATTCGCCAACTTCTAACGCTCCTAACCTTGCACACGCAGAAAGTACACCAACCATTGAATAGCAATCCGGCCTAACATTCTCTCGTTGCATCCTGTAAAACACCTCCATAGCCTCTTTAGGAAGCCCATTCACTGCATAACCCTGTATCATAGCACTCCAAGACACAACATCCTTCTCTACCATCTCATCAAAAACCTCACGAGCTTTCGCCATTTCCCCACATTTAGCATACATATCAACCAAACCAGTATTAACAAACACATTCCTCCCCATATCCATCTCCACCGCGTACCTATGTATCCACTCACCAGCACTAACATCCCCTACCCGACTACACGCAGACAACACCCTAACAAGAGTAAAACTATCCGGACTCAAACCCATCTCCAACGACCTCCGAAACAAACCAATAGCCTCCTTAAACTTCCCAAAATCAATATACCCCGTCATTATCGCAGTCCAAGACACAACATTCTTCTCAGGAATATCATCAAACATCTGGTGTGCATCATCAAGAAATCCACACCTAGCATAAAAACAAACCAACCCAGTCTTCACAAACACATCATAATCAAATCCCCCTTTCACAACAAGCCCATGAGCCTTAACACCCAATTCAAAATCCGATAACCTCGTGCAAGATTTCAACAAAAACGGAAAAGTAAAATTGTTAGGCAAGAAACCTTCATTTCTCATCCCATGGAAATATGCAATTGATTGGTGAAAACAATTATTCGAAACCAACCCACGAATCATAGTATTGTAAAGAAAAATGTTGGGTTCTTGAGTTTGATTGAATACAAGCTTAGCATAATTTGGATTGTTGAAATTGTTCAAAGTAAATTTTAATAGTAAGTTTAAAAGATAGTTGTTTTGATCAAAACCTGTACGAATAAGGCGAGCATGAATGTGTTTAAGTTGATTGAAGGATTGGAAGCCATGAAAGAGAGCTGCTTTTAGCTCCATTAGAGCTTTGGGAGCAGCAGCTGAGAATGTTGCATTCATGGCTTAAACAACCATAGGCAACAAATTACCTTAATTTTATCTAGTTTTGAACATTGAGACCCAACTCTAATTATTTATACATATAGTGTATATAGCTTAAATTCACGCTATGTTAGACGATATATAATTTAAATTCATGTTATGGTTGGTTGTGATGAGATATATATAATTTAAATTCATTTTCGATGTCATAAATTTACTACATGTATGACTTGCATGAACTCATGAAGCTATAATATGATTAATATCCCTTTTTCCACCCAATGGAGAATAAATAACCTTTTGATATGAAGTAGTCTTCCCTTAATGTATTTATGTAGAGTAAATTTAAAGTAGTTAAATTAACTATCTATGAAAGTAGTAAATGTGAAAATTGCAATATAATGTATTTACTTACACGATGATTAATTTCCTAATTGAACATTTTTTCTATCTTAATAGGAGTACTAAAAAAGTGAAATATTTTTCTTGATTTAAAACTAACCATTACCGAATTAAAGACGCATCAATTTATCAACTAATTTCTCATTCCCTTTTCATTTTCCTTGTACGCAAGTGGAAATGGAAAATTTTATAGGGATCAAATGATTCTTCTTACCTAAACAAGTTCGTTAACTGAACATGTCAGAGGCGAATTCAAGAATTGAAGTTTATACATTTCTACATCCACCACAAGTTAATAACAAGAATAATAACTAGTGAATTCTTAGGCAAAAGCTATTGGATTTTTGGAAATCCTAAAATTACATTTACATCCGCTTCCGTGTCTGACGGGGCTACAAGTTGTGCATTTTTAGGAAAATTACTATACAAAGATCAGCACTAGGAGATGACAACAACAACTATGCCTTAGTCCCAAACACGAACCAAGAGAACGAAAAGATCAAAACAAATAAATAACTAGATCCAACATCTACCTACATACATAACTAGATCCAACATCTACCTACATTACAACAGGTGTGTACTAGAGGGGTTTGCAAAGAAATGTTCCCTTGAAACTAACTTCGATTTCTTGAAATGGCTACCAATAAGACTACTCAGAATTGCTGGTTCTCCGCTTGGATTTGCTTGAGGAATCTTACGCGAAAATATAACGTTATCCAGGATCATCATGTTTAACAAACTTCTGCAACTCTGAAAGACACAACAAGAATGTTTTAGCAGATGAGAAGATGTAAAAGTGTCTTGTCTATCTCATGCCCATAAAACATTACTACTACAACAACATAACTTAGTGTAATTCCACGGGTGGGGTCTGGTGTGGGTAAAGTGTACACATACGTTACCCCTACCTCGTTGAGGTAGAGACCCATAACACATTACAAGCAAAAGGATTTGAATAATTGTTGAAACTTTAAGATCTCCATTACTACCAAAACTTAGATTTTCTTTGCTATCTACAGACCAAAAAAGTAGAACTATTAGGTGCCAGCAATTCTCTGCCTCAAGAGATACGGAGTCAGGATTTCAACTTTATGGGTTCTGGATTTTAGAACGATGACTTCAAAGTGTTAATAACTAGATTCTAAATTTAATGTGTACATATTTAATAAATTTCTCAACACAACTACATTATTCGAGGAAAAGCTATTGGTTTCGACCCGTAGCTGGGCTTCTAACTCCGCCCCTGTCCTAGGATCACACAATCTCACTAACTAGAAAATATCCCGGTATGTAGAAACTACAAGTATGGTAAAGAGATGAACTTTGTTTATGTTTAGAAGGCACATCAGGGGTTCCAAATGCGCACTCAGAAGCAATAAATCTGGCTAGAGGAAGTCCCAGATTGGTATAATAGAAAACATGAAAATTCTGAGCAGCTCATAATTTATGGAAAGAGGGCCTTGGGAGAAGAGATCATTGAAATTTTTATCATTTTTATCATTTCTTGGGCAAGAACAATGATACCGCTTCATGTTACATTTTATCTGAAAATCAACAGACTGAAGAAACAAGTCTGAGGAAACAGAAATAAATATCATACCTGAGGATTCAGAACATGCATGTGGCAGATAATATCACCCTGAACAATAATTAAGAAGTCAGTTTGAAACTAATAATATAAATTAGAAGTATCTGTGTATATATATATACATATATATTGCTACGAGGATGGATTATACATAAAACAGTCAAGCTGAAAATGGATGTTTAAATTGGTATGCAGTGTTCATCAATGATCAAGATGAGGAAAAAGAATGACTCTATGATTCAATCATCAATGATTGAGTTCCAGTATTCATAAGGAAATGAATCCATATGATATGAAGTATAACAAATCAATATGAAGTGGTGTTCCCAAGAACATAGCACAAAATCTGTGAGAACATTGAAAAAGATAGAGAAGCAAATGAACCTAGCACTAAAGACTAAGAGAAATGAAAAAAAAAAAAAGATACTGTATTAACAACGAGAACTAGACAAAAATTAAGAAGTAATTCACTGATTTATTCTACAACCAACAAGGATCAATTGTCCCTAATAACTTTGAAGCAATTCATTATGCACAAAATTAGAAAGTAATACTTCTAAATTGCACAGATTCACTGGTCATGATCAGGTATCTATGTTTTTATGTAAGTAAAAGGGCGTACCTCTTTTATTCCCGGATTTTGCATCACTATGCCAAGAACACGGCGTACAAGCCCCTTGTAGACACGTTCATTTGTAGTACCATCACCATTTAGCCAAGGCAATATTGGCTTACACAGATGCAAACCAGTAGAGCGGATATCATATGGTTCTTCTGGGTGATTTCTTGTGGGTGAACTAGCTTCAGTAGGCCGACAACCTTTTGCCTCATTGATGGTTTGCTTTTTACTTGAAGGTTCAGCAACCGCTTTAGGAAGATTAAGAATTGTGACTTTGTGTACCTTATCAGAATTCTGCAACTCCACATCTTTATGATTTTCTCCATTATGTGTAGCAGACTCCTCATATGTTTTAGCCTCACAATCTTCATAAGGAGATGATGTAGCATCTTCATGAATAGCAGCCACTGGAATCAAAAAGTACTTGGAACGATATAAAGAATCAACCACCCGAATAGAGTCGTAAGCATTGACCTGCATTTTGTGGGCCACTAGATGATTAGTTGAATAGAAGATGGGCCTTCTACTGCACTCTGTTCCATTCTCTATTAATTACATCACTAGCTATAGTGCCATCTTTCCTTAATCAAACCACATGTAAAACAAACAACTACAACAAGCTTAATACATAATGTCATGGGTTTTATTGAGTTATAGTGGCAACCTCCACACAATATTGATGAAGCTGGTCAGCAGCGAATTAAGCATGTACGTCAATTTTATTCATAGAACACATGGCTCAATGATATATTAATTCACAACACAAGCGACATACTAACACTTAACTGAGAAGAACGCCAACACACCAAACTTAAACTGATGAGCAATCTACAAGTAATACAACAATTTTGAAGTACATGTTCATGACAACTATGCCAATTTGGGTGCCTAGTCACATGATTCATTTTTTAACCTACCAAAATTTTCCATATCACTAAACCAACTCAGGACATCAGGGAACTCATCAAAGCATTTTGGCCTCTCAACTCATATTTTCTTCTCTTTCCATCCCCCGTCTTTATTGTACATCATGCTTTAACAAAAAATCAGGCGATATATGGTAGATCCTTTATATAAACAGCAATTTTCTTAATACTCCCTCTGTCCCATTTTATGTGGCACCTTTGACTTGGCATGGTGTTTAAGAAAAAAAGGAAGACTTTTGAAACTTGTGGTCTAAAACAATCCTTACATATTTGTGTAGCTGAGTTTCATTTCATTAAGGGTAAAAGAGGAATTTAAAAGTTAAAATTGTTTCTAATTATAGTAAGGTGACATTCTTTTTGGGACAGACTAAAAAGGAAAGGGTGCCACATAAAATGGGACAAAGGGAGTATCATTTGACACTTTAAACCGGCATATTCATGTTAAAACATACCAAGATATGCCATTATTCTAAATACAATACAATTTGGGGGCTACGGGGAATTTCAAAGTAATATCCATCTGTTTTCAGGAGCAATCAGCCAGTGTCATATGAAGTAAATTCTCAAGATTCAAGGCTTAAGTGACAAGACAAACACACTACACAGAAAAGTAAAACACACAATGAAGAGACCTAGAGGAGTTTCAGGCAAAACTAGTTTACACTCCACACAAGTGAATCCACATTGAGCATACCATTACAAGTATCCGTTTTAAAAGCAAATGAACCAACAGCTTCTATTTCTTCTACAAGAAAGACTCTTTTTAAAACAATCCATTTACTAATATTTCCTATTCAGTAAATGAGTGAGAAGTCTTATTTCACAAAAATAACATCAGATAAACTATAACTGAGGATTTCATCAGAATTCTTTCATTAGTAACTCTAAGCAGGTGCATGAAACTTCATCAGATGGTGCAAAGAACAAGGGAAGATAGCTAATTGTTAATTCAGACGCACCTTCAAAACTCGTCCAAATGCTTCTAGCACCTCAATGACAGCTTCAGAAAGCTTTTTATCTGTAAAAAATAAATAAATAGAAGCAATGAGTATTTAAATGGCGGGTTTAGAAAACCTTGTAGGTTTGTGGTTACATACCTTGCATCTTTAGAATCCTCGAGATATCTTTCATGCACAAACCTTGGTCACCAGCCATTTGGATAGCTGAATAAACAGATCTAAACATTTCCGGATATACCAGAGAGTTCTGTTCCAGACAAGAACCAAAGGAACAAACACGTTCAGCATAGGTCGTCATGGCTTGCCATTGTGACTCGGTCGGAGAAACTGTGGTATATGGGACCCCGCTATCTTGAAGTTCATTTACTTGGTCATCTGAGTTGAATGAGACACTGCCAATATCAGTGGCTTGATGATCTTTAACAGATTGTGCACAAGTATAGTTATCACTGTCTTTGAGTTAATCCATAATTTTTATTCTTGAAAGTGTAGCATGCCTCAAGCACAACCTAATTCCTGGAAAACCTTTTGCCCGGCGTGAGCAAAGCTCACTATCACTAGCCATTGAAGTTTTCAGCTTTT